ACAGCCCAAATTAGAGAAAGCAAGCTTTTGGATTAAGATGATTTCTGTTGTGGTTGTAACACACCACAGTTTGATTTTTGTCCAGATGAAAACATTTGGTTTTCACTTCAGTAAATATTGTGGAGACGTTGCCAGCTAATTCTGAAAAGTAATGAGATACGGCTTTGGCAAGGCACAGATGCGTTCTCTACTCCCGATTCCACTTATCTGATCCAAGTTCAGATTTTTTTTCACATTTGCTAATGCATTTGAATAATCAGGATAGAAAATCTGCCTGTGATTTTAGTAGAAAACTGTATATACTAAATATACTTTTATAACTCGTTGGGTATAATACCTCCAAGAAAAATAACCCCACACAATCCATAACCCTCTTAAGATACTCACCTTTCATTGCTGACTTCTCTGAAACGACAAGAGTTTCTAAAGGAGACGGATGATGTAATTCTGTGTGATGTCAGCTTCTCTCGCTATCACGAACGGGGCTTGTACTTCAACTCATCCTCAACAGGGAGAGTCTATGCTGAGATCCCTGGGACGAGACTCAGAATGAGGCGTGCTGAGCCCTTTGCTGGTGTTTGCAATTGGTGGCAGGTTAGCCCAGCTGTGGAAAGGGAAGGTCGCTTTTTAGAAAGCAGTTTCAAGTTGGGAGTCACCTCTCTCCTAGTTTTTTCATCTTGTTATTTTCATCCCTGTAACTTCATTCCCATTTTCCTGAATGCTGGACCCACACTGAACTTTTCAAAAGTTTGCCTCATCTGACATTTGGAGGAAAGTTTTCCCAGTAAATTTTCTAAAGGTGAAGCTTCCCTCTTATGTGCCAGGATCTATAAGTTGCAAAATATTTTTGGGGAAAAACACACACACTCTTCTATTTTCAAATACTAAATAGTAATTTAAATTTCTGTTGACTTAGCATCAATATGACTAAGTAACATACCCATTTTATAATGAGGAATGTAGGATAATTTTCACCAGTGATAAAGAACCCAGACTTCTGTGTGCTGTTAGGAGTTTAAAATATCCTTTCCTTTATCGTGTGTGTGTGTGTGTGTGTGTGTGTGTGTGTGTG